AAAAATAAATAATGCATACGAGAAATTCCTGTGATTTTTCCTCCAGTAGTGTATCTATGAAAATATAAAAAAAATTTTAACTTGAATTCTTTTATTAATTGTCTGGGATGATGTTGAATCGGATGATGTCGAAATTTGGATTAGTGTTAGTATGAAATTTTGAAAAATTTTGGTGTTTTTTTTTTTTAACGTTGGGATTATAATTTAGGGTTAAAGTTATTAACAAAAAAAGTGTGTATTAAGTGGATCAAAATAAGTTTATGGATCCAATCGATATCATCGGGTTTCATATCATCATCCCAAATAATAATTAATTTGTTTTTATTAACAATGAGATATTCTTACCCAGCATTAAAATCATAAATTTCATCAGTATCAAAGCCTACTTTAACGAGACCAAATGGATGGCATGGGCCAGGAAATACGTGTCCATCTGCACATGATTCAGATCATTAGAAATAATAATTAAATAATAATAATAATACAGTAATAATAGCTCTATTTAAAAACAGCAAATAACGATAATGGATGTTAATTTTAAGTGTCACTCGAAAAAAAACAAATAAAGTTAAATTTAAGTAAAAAAAACGTCACTAAACAGGCTAAGCAAGAATTTTTTTAGGTTGCATGACGCCCAATGCCAATCTCATGCAAATAATGATTAGAGTTATTAGAAAATCACCTTTAGCGGTTCCAATTAGAGTATCAACAAATCTCGTAACATTTTCAAGGTGATTTGATGAATAATCCCCGAATAAGTTTGAATTTTGATAATTTATTGAATTTGTAATCCAATTTGTAGATAAACTTAAAAATAATATCGATATTACGTTCAAAAAAATTAATATTATTACAAATCTGTATTTTAATAGTTGTGTATTCATCGTTAATGGAGGAAGAATCGACAATATAAAATTTAAATTGGTGGATACAAAATGCTTATTATATATAAACGTTGCTAATTGTAACCTCGTTAAGTACGATTATTGTCAAACATTTAACTGTACACATATAACCGTATGCATGGTAACGTACGTACGTACGTACAGTACATACATACTGTAAATAAATCTACATTTATATTTTTGTGGTTAAATTTATTTAATATAACTGGTCCCTATAACAATTAGGGAATACAGTATATATCAGTATGTCGTGGCCACACATACGTATAATTTGAACTTGTGTTGCTCAAACATCTCTAATGCAGCTCACCAAATGCATGCACTTTGAAAAGCCCTCCTAAATTCCAGTCTTCACTTGGGCTAATATAATGCTTATAGATTTTTACCTCTCTATTTTCCTCTCTAAATGCAATATATTTCTAAGTACAATATCTCTTTAAATGCATGTTTACCAAATTTTTTACATATGGTCCGTCATAATGTATTTAGATAGGGATGTTATCCTGCTTAAACTGATTAATTTATGCGGCCCCTCCGAAGTTCGGGTTGATGGTCATTGTCATTGCTGCAGAATATAATTAGTAACCGATTTTGATTGGATGTTCTGGACCGGGGTAAAATCGCCACCCAAAAAGTTTCGAACATCACGTTACAAATATATCGAGCACCAAAAATTCATGTAACTTGAACAAAAAACACAAACGAAAAAAA